GACACGAAGTGGGAGGGAAGGGAAAGTCTGTGGGAGTCAGGGAGAGTCTGTGGGAGGCAGGGAGAGTCTGTGGGAGGCAAGGAGAGTCTGTGGGAGTCAGGGAGAGTCTGTGGGAGGCAGGGAGAGTCTGTGGGAGGCAAGGAGAGTCTGTGGGAGGCAGGGAGAGTCTGTGGGAGGCAGGGAGAGTCTGTGGGAGGCAGGGAGAGTCTGTGGGAGTCAGGGAGTGTCTGTGGGATTCAGGGAGTGTCTGTGGGAGTCAGGGAGTGTCTGTGGGAGTCAGGGAGTGTCTGTGGGAGTCAGAGAGAGTCTGTGGGAGTCTGGGAGAGTCTGTGGGAGTCAGGGAAAGTCTGTGGGAGGCAGGGAGAGTCTGTGGGAGGCAGGGAAAGTCTGTGGGAGGCAGGGAGAGTCTGTGGGAGTCAGGGAGAGTCTGTGGGAGTCAGGGAGAGTCTGTGGGAGGCAGGGAGAGTCTGTGGGAGTCAGAGAGAGTCTGTGGGAGTCAGAGTCTGTGGGGGTGGGAGGCAGTGGGAGTGTCTGTGGGGGTTGGAGTCTGTGGATGGAAGAATCTGTGGTGACGAAAGGAAAATAATTTGTGTGCGAGAGGACAGCGAACCAGTCTGTGAGAAATCTTTAGTGTTCAGGAAAGAGAAGTTAAAAAAGTCTGTGAGCAGAGGAAGAAACAAAGTCTGTGGTTGTGTGAGGAAAGAAAATCCTAACCAGAACTAGACCCGTCAAGTTACCAACGTTGGTAATACCAAATAGGACATCAGTGGCTATGCCAGGAGCACTAAGCGACCAGGGGCCAGATTCACGAAGCAGTTACCCAAGCACTTACGAACCTGTACCTCTTTTCACAATCTTTGGCGGCTTTGTTTACAATTATTAAACAGTTAATGAGCTCCGAAGGACCAGGAGGCTGTTTATAACAATTAACAACAGTTGATTGGCAAGTTTTCGTGCTTCTAAACTGTTTAATAAATATAAACAAAGCCTCCAAAGATTGTGGAAAGATGTACACGTTCGTGAGTACTTGCGTAACTGCTTCGTGAATCTGGCCTCAGTCCCATGCCCTCGGCCAGTGCTTGACGGAGCTGCCTTCAGGGCTGACGATGGATCAGCCGCCGCAACGATGATCTCAGCACCGAACGTTCATTTAGCGAACTCTTATAGTCCAGGAGGAAGGTTTTTAACGTTTCCGTGATCGTCTGTGGTCTACCCTGGTCGTCTACCCTGTGATCGTCTACCCTGGTCGTCTACCCTGTGATCGTCTACCCTGAGGCTGGCCCGGGCCACCTGGGGGGAGAAGGTTACTACTACCTGCTTGATGGGTAAATTACACGCAGCTGGAGCATTGTTTTTGTCATGAGGCGCTCCCGGTCATGGGCTGCCTCAGGTCATGGGCTGCCTCAGGTCATGGGCTGCCTCAGGTCATGGGCTGCTTCAGGTCATGGGCTGCCTCAGGCCATGGGCTGCCTCAGGCCATGGGCTGCCTCAGGCCATGGGCTGCTCCTGGCCATGGGCTGCCCCTGGCCTTAGGCTGCCCCCCCCCCTGGCCATGGGGCTGGCCCTGGCCATGGGAACATCATGCATATAGCTTCGAATCTTCACCAAAGCCCTTGCGAATCTGTTTATTGATATATATATATAAATATATATATATATATATATATATATATATATATATATATATATATATATATATATATATATATATATATGTCGTACCTAGTAGCCAGAACGCACTTCTCAGCCTATTATGCAAGGCCCGATTTGCCTAATACGCCAAGTTTTCATGAATTATTGTTTTTTTCGACTACCTAACCTACCTAACCTAACCTAACCTAACTTTTTCGGCTACCTAACCCAACCTAACCTATAAAGATAGGTTAGGTTAGGTTAGGTAGGGTTGGTTAGGTTTGGTCATATATCTACGTTAATTTTAACTCCAATAAAAAAATTGACCTCATACTTAATGAAATGGGTAGCTTTATCATTTCATAAGAAAAAAATTCGAGAAAATATATTAATTCAGGAAAACTTGGCTTATTAGGCAAATCGGGCCTTGCATTGTAGGCCGAGAAGTGTGTTCTGGCTACTAGGTACGACATATATATATATATATATATATATATATATATATATATATATATATATATATATATATATATATATATATATATATATATATATATATCACGGTATTGTGATTCCTCGGTGTAATAATAATACTGATAAGACAGAGGTTAGTGGAAGCGGCGAAGGTCGGGTGGAGCTGAGGTAAACACAGGTGAGCAAGGAACCTCACGGTGCCCGCAGCTGAGATACTTTCACTTCCGGTTGACTGTAATTGTTTACTTGTGGAGTACGTCTTGGTTGTTAGGCATCGCTGGCACCAACACCAGCTAACGACAGCAGGGAATAACAGCCAGGAGCGGCCGGGATAGCCATACAGGAGCGGCTAGGATAGCCACAGAGCAGCGACTGGGATAGCCACAGAGAACCGGCTGGGATAGCCATAGAGAAGCGGCTGGGATAGCCATAGAGAAGCGGCTGGGATAGCCACAGTGAAGCGGCTGGGATAGCCACAGAGGACCGGCATGATAGCCATGAGAGATAAGAGTATCTTAACAAACATCAAGATATATCTCTCACAGGATAACATCACCCTCTTTACGAGGTATTTCTTAAATGACACAATTATCAGTAAAATGGCCATTCTGCACAAGAAGTTTTCTAATGTTTTAATGATAATAGACTACGATTAAACTAAAGCTTCATGGTATTAACATTTCAAAACCCTTGCGGCTACCATGATGGTGTTCACCTCACGACGCCCGGAGACAACACATCTAATTGGGTGGGATTCCAACCCTCGCCTCAAGGCGTTGTTGAATTGGTTTTCCTCTTGCTAATTGAGTTATATGACGCAGGAGAAAGGTGTGATTAGCTAATCTATAAGTAGGTAATGTGAATTATATGGTCGTAGTGCTGGTAGTTTGGGTACGTTGTGGGTAGCACAGTGCTGGTACATGGTTTGGGCACGCTGTGGGTAGTTTGGGCACACAACATGCAGTTTTGTTAATGTGATTTCTTTGTGGACAGTTGTGTTAAAAATGTATAGTTGTGAGTTAATATTGTGTTGACAACTGTTAAAGCAGAACCTTAAATTAGTTATATATAACCAATTAGCTTTTTGATGTTGGCTTTTTAGACCTGGTTACCCTCCAAAAATATTCTCATCTACATCATACTGGTCAGTTGAAAACAAATTAGGCCTACATTGAAATCTAATGCATGAAAATTTAAATTTCATCACATCATTCCAGGGTTCGAAGACCCCAAGACAAGATGATTTTCATTGATATTTTACTTAATGTTGCTTAATATTATCGCATGAAACAAAATTATTTACTTGAAATTGCAACAATATAATCTTTTTTTTCTGGTGATTAATAGTTTTAATGTCGCTAAACACCAGTTGTTAATTAATAGTATAATATATACACAGTATCGTCAAGCCGGGGCCCGAGGTTATGTTAAACATACTGCTACACTTAACCAAGTACGGGCTCACCATAGCCCGTGCTACTTGGAACTTTTTGTTCCAAGTAGCGAATCTTGAACAACAACAACTTAACCAAATCGTTCCATAGTTTGGTTGATATCACCAAACTGGCGTGATGTGCAGAAGGATATTTTTGTATGCATAAAGTTATCAAACGAAAGAGCATTTTACACTCTTTACGATGAAATAAAATGTGTAATTATTCACTCAGGTCATCATATACCCTCAATAATGTTTAATTGTGTTTCAGCTTTCCTTCCTGTTGCGTTGTTGATCTCTTGGGTCACACATACATGCACGCTACATATGGTACACAACTTTCCACACATAATATACAAAACACACACAACATACAGACGACATACACAAGACTCCCAGTTGTTGCTGACACGATCATACAGCAACACATTCACAACACTGCGGAAGACAAACACAGAACATACAATCATCCACACAAGATATACACACAACAGCTTAAATACGCTCACACTTGCACAAAATACACACACACACATCCATGTAAAACCTATGCACAATATGGAGAATAAAAAACACCTTACCACATAAGACACAACCACTCAAGACCAATATAACCACAAAAAACACAACTATGCAACACACACAACAGTTTAGCACACAATACACCCCCCCACACACACACACATACACACACACACGCCCACATACACATACGCTAACGCCATACACAGTTTTAAATGTAGATATGATAGAGCCCAGTAGGCTCAGGAATCTGTACACCAGTTGATTGACAGTTGAAAAGCGGGACCAAAGAGCCAGAACTCAACCCCCGCAAGCACAACTAGACGAGTACAATCCCACACAAATATCCACAATACCACACAAGTATACACAATACCCCACAACCACACAATCACATAAAGCTCGCTCATAAACTAAAACATGAGATCCACTCTGAAAGCGAAGGCAGGAAGTGTGTGGTGTACCACACCGCCGGCTCCTGGGGCCCGTCCCCTTTATAATATCCATCAACGACCTTCGTGTCATTGCGGAAGGTGCTAAAGAGATGAGAAGAATTAGAACAAAGGAGGCCTGCGATCCGTTGCAAAGTGAACTAGTCACACACTCCAGAGGTGATTGGTTGTTTAAGTAACGCAAAATAATGAGGAGGGAAGCAAGAATAAAGACTACAAATACAATAAAAGAAATAAAGCTTCTTATAACGAAGAGAAGAAAGACTTAATACTAAACATAATATAATGTCTGCATTTTATTCTAAAATGACCAACGACCTAATTTACTGCAGGAATCTGGATTAAGCAGCTTTATGAACATTACTAGGCAGACCTATTTTTTTTGTAGGCCTAAACACGGGTGGTGGGGTATCGCGGGCACCAGCCCCGGGTGACGTAATATTTGATTAGGATGTTGTTGTTGTTGTTTAAGATTCACTACCTGG